TGGCCCCTGCTCAGCCTGCTTTCTTATGCAACACAGGCCCACCTGCCCAGGGGTGGCACCACCCACAGTGGGCTGGGCCCTCCCACATCACTCATCAAGAAGATGTCCCTCAGACATGGCCACAGGCCAGTCCAATAGAGGCAATTCCCCGAGTGAGGCTCCCTCAACCCAGGTGTGTCAAGTTGACACTAAAGCTATCCAGCACAGCACCTGTGCACATGTGCCATTACACATGTGTGGAAGTCAAAGGACAGCTTGCAGGAGTTGGTTCTTCCTTTCTACTATATGGGTCCTAGGAATTAAACTCAGGTCATCAGGCTTGGCAGCAAGCACCTTTACCTGTTAAAGTTATCTCACTGGTCTACCTTCGCTTTTCTGAGGCTCATCTCTATGGCAGCATGAATCAATCTGCATTCCTTTTTAATGCTGAATTCTATTCCATTGAACAGATACACCATGCTTCAGCATTTGGGTCACCCCTGTTTTTACACTATTACGAATAACACCACTCTAAACATTCACGTACAGTGTTTTTATTGGACATAAGCTTTCAGTTCCCTTGGCTGTGTCCCTTAGCGGTGGATTGCTGGCTGGGTCATGTGCCATTGTGTATTTGACATTTGAGGAACTTCCCATTTTCCACAGCAACTGCCCCATTTTGTGTTCCCAGCACAATGTGGTGGCAGCCTTGCACTCTTGTGAGTCTATGTACATTTTTGAGACCATGTTCCTGCTGGCTGCACCCCGATGGTCTGCTGGCTTGGGTTCAAATGCTTTCAGCAATGGCACCTCACATAAGTGGCTCTCTGGCCCTTTTCTATAAAGTGATACAAGAATCTCCCTTCAAGGCTATCAGAAGATGACCTGGGATGGTGACAACTGTCAAGTGAGGTATACTTGTCCGCTTTTTATAACTGAGTCCCTGGGATGTAAAGTCCCTGAGGTGGGAGCCCACCAGCTTCCCTGAAGCTCATGGCCCTGGGCCTGGGATTCAGAATGTGCTGTAAGCTCCAGGCACAGGCCCTCTGCTGCTACCCAGGAGCTTCACTTAGTGGGAGTAGCCAAGCCCACTATGTGCCATCCAGGAGCTGTGTGGGAGGCAGGGCTGGCCCCTCTTGTGACCCTATGTGACTCTTAGCCACTAAAGGCCTCCATATGTTCCCTTCTTTCAGAGCAAAAGTTCTGTCTGTCAACAGCCTCTTGTCCTTCCATGGCAGAAGAGGGGATGTTCACCAACAAATGGCCACCAGCCTAGCAGTAGTCACACATGTTTGGCAGCCTCAGCTGGTGCTTGCTGGGCACCTCGCCTCACTCTCACTGCTCACCCCTTTCATCTAGGCAGATCTTGATGTTTTCAACTGACCTCATTTCCCGTTTTTTACTTATTTGGCTAAAGTACACCAAACATTTACTAAGTTTTCCATTTGAACTTGTGTTTATGTGTGTGCATATGTGCATACGTGCCTCTGTGTGTGTGTGTGTATGTGTCTGTGTCTATGTTTCTGTGTGTGTGTATCTGTGTGTCTGTGTATGTTGCTGGGGATCAAGCTCAAGCCCTCTACCACTCCCAGCCCATCTTAACCATTTCTAAGTACCCAGTTCAGTGGTACTGAGGACATTCATCTTGTAGGACCATCACCACTGTCCACCTCCATAATGTTCTGCCTCTTGGGAAGCTAAAACTGTCAAATAACAAGAACTCCACACAACCAGACTTGGCTATCCCAGGCTCCATCAGATCTTGCTATGTAACCCAGGCTGGTCTCAAGCTCTTAATCTTCCTGCATTAGCACCCAAATGCTGGGATTATGCACCTTGTTCAACCAACACTTTGTGTTTGGGGGCAAGTGTGGATGTGGAGGCCAGAGGTCAACCTCAGGTGCTATTCCTCAGGTGCCATGCACCTTATGTTTTTTTTGCAGGGGGGTGTTGTTTTTTGGGTTTCTTTTTGTTGTTGTTTTTTAAGACAGGGCCTTACTATGTAGCCCTGGCTGACCTGGAACTCGCTATATAGACGAGACTGGCCTCAAACTCCCAGAGATCCACCTGCCTCTGCTTTCCCCAGTGCTAGGATTAAAGGCGTGTGTCACCAGGCCTGGATTTCCCACCTTGTTTTTTGAGACAAGGTCTCTCATTGGCCTGAAGTTCACCAAGTAGGCTAGGCTGGCTGGCTAATGAGCCCCAGGGGATCTGCCTGTCTCTGCTTCCCCAGTGCTGGGATTATGAGTATGTGCCACTACACCTGACTTAAAAAAAAATGGATTCTGGGGGCTGGAGAGATGGCTCAGCAGTTAAGAGCACTGACTGCTCTTGCAGAGGACCTGGGTTCAATTCCCAGCACCAACATGGCAGCTACGAACTGTCCTTAACTCCAGTTTCAGGGGAATCTGAAGCCCTCTTCTGACCTCCGCGGCATTGCATGACACGGATACACTCACATACATGCAGGCAATACAACCATACACATAAATATAAAAATAGCTGGGCGTTGTGGTGCACGCCTTTAATCCCAGAACTTGGGAGGCAGAGGCAGGCAGATCTGTGTGAATTCGAGGCCAGCCTGGTCTATATAGCGAGTTCCAGTTCAGCTGGGGCTACAGGGAGACCCTGTCTCAAAAAGACCAAAAATAAATAAATAAATAAATATTTTTTAAAATGGATTTTGAATTGCTAGAGAAATGCTTAGTGGTTAAAAGTACTGGCTACTCTTGGCAGAGGACCCAGATTCAGTTCCTGGCACCCATGTGACAGCTAACAACTGTCCTTAACTCCAGGGGATCTGGCACCCTCTTCTGGCCTCTGTGGGCATTGCACAACATAGGTACACTTACATACATACAGGCAAAACACTCATATACATAAAATAAATACATATTTTAAAAGATATGGGTCATGGGGATCAAACTTGGGGCCTCATGTTACAACTCTACCAACTAAGCTATCTTCTTTTAAATTTTTTCTAATTTTGAGATAGGGTCCCCCTGTAGCCCCAGCTGGCCTGGAACTCACTATGTAGACAAGTCTGGCTTTGATCTCACAGAGATTCACCTGCCTCTGCCTCCTGAGTGCTGGAATTAAAGGTGTGCACCATCACACCTGGCTCAACCACACTTTTATTTAATTTTTTTAAATTTTATTTATTTTTATTTTATGTGTATTTGTGTATTGCCTGAATGTAGGTAAGTACACCCATGTCATGCAATGCCCAAGGAGGTCAGAAGAGGCTGTTGGATCCCCTGGGACTGGAGTTACGAACAGTTGTTAGCTGCCTTGTGGGTGCTGGGATTCAAACCCGGGTCTTCTGCAAGAACAACCAGTGTTCTGAACTGCTAAGCCACTTCTCCAGCCTCTATTTTATTTTTTAAAAATATGTATGTAAGTACACCCATGTTGTGCAATGCCGTGGAGGTCAGAAGAGGGCTTCAGAGCCCCTGAAACAGTAGTTAGGATGGTGGTTAGCTGCCCCACCTCTTCAACCCTCAACCACACTTTTAAAAACATCTACTAAGTGTTCCTCTTGTAGATTGAAACAAGACAGAAGTGGAAACAAGATTCCCTACCTCATGGAAGCAACAGCCATTTTCTAGATGATGAGACTAGGGCGCTGAGATGAAGGCTCTAGCCTAATCCATGGTGGGGCGGGATTTTAATTCAGATGTCTGTATACAGACCAGTCTCCAGCCTCCTAGCCCAGACCCCCCCCCCCACCCTGCATTGGGAGGGTGGTCCTCGGTTGTCCAATCTGTGAAATGGGGCTGGGTCAGTGATCCTGCTGCTGAAGGCTCCTGCTCTTCCCTTGACCTTAGAGAACAGCAAGTCACCATCCCTGGACCCCACCCTGGCTCCAGCTGTGAGAGGTCCCAGAAGAAGACTTTCCTATCAGGGAGGTGAGGGGCTATGTGCACACCGCTTACCACTATAAGACTGGCTTGCTGTGCTAGTGACCATAGCCACCCACAGGGAAATGTTTTCCCCAACCCAAGGCAGGAGCTTGTGGAGGTCCACCCTCTTCTCCAGGCCTTAGTTTCCTACCTGACGGTGGGCCCAGCAATCCTAACTTTAGGCTGAAAGGAAGACTTACTTGACAATGCTATCGTGCCCCCGTGCCCCCCTCCGTGCCCCCCCCTCTCAAGTCTACAGTTGCATGCTGCAATTGCTAGGCCTCCTGGGCTGCATCTTAAGGAAAAACCTAGCTAGCCTCTTACCGTTGGAGCCCCTTGGTTGAATTAAACTAATGATGCTCAGAGTGGCTGGTGTCTCGAACTCTGTACAAACCTGATACTCCTTCATCTTCACAGATGGTGAGGTGGAGCTTCCACAGCCCGCTCCAGAATGAGGACACTGAGGCACAGGTATAGAGGACTTCCTGAGGGCCGTGGCTTTTGGGTTGAGGGGCAGGTGGGGAGCTCAAGGGAGTCCGCCTGAAGCACTCAGGGCCCCTGGGCTTTTGAACAGCCCTGGCGAACATGAGTTGCCCATCCTGGGTGGCTCCTAAAATACAACTGAGACTCGGTCCCTCCAAGCTGGGGGTGGGCAGGTTGCCCAGGCTTGGAGCCAACAGTCCCAGGGAGGTCTCAAGACCCTGTCGGGGCCAGCAGTTTGCCTGGAGAGGAAACTGAGGCTCTGGCTCTGGCTCCCACCAGGTCCCGTCCCGGGACGCAAGCCGCGGGTGGGCGGGTACCGCGGGGTGGCGGGGCTGGAACCTGAGCCGCTGGAGGAGGGACGCTGCCAGCCGGGATTCAGGAAGCGCCGCTCCAGCCGCCGGCGCCCAGCCGTCCCGAGGTGAGTGGGGTTGCGCGGGAGGGAAGCCCCGCGGAGGTCCCTTGATGTCCCCGGGGGCGGCTCCGGGGCCCCACGGCCTCCGATGGGTCCCGAGATTCACGGTCGGGTCCCCTGACGCGCGGGAAGTGGGAGGCGCCGGGCGGGTCCCGCAGACGACCGCTGCTCCGCTGATGCCCTTGGGCCTGGCACCGCCACTCGAAGTGTCACCTGTGAAATGGGCGCCAACGTAGGCCTTTAGGGGTGCGGATCCCCGTCCCTGGGACCCAAATCCTGGAACCAAAGATCAGGCGCCTGCAGGCTGCTCCGGACGATCCCCACCTTGGGGGCTTGACTAGGGATGGGGCACCGAGCTCTGCCTTCCGCCTGGAGCATGTTAGAAGGACCTAGGAGGGGGAAGCTTCCGAAGGCTCAGAGGGATGGCTGTGTTCGAGAGACAGCAAGTCTTTACCCTCAGCTCCACCCTGGAGACTCGTGGTGGCCTCTGAGGACAGGGAGAGACTTCCATGCTGTCTTTTTGCCTGGAAATCCAACCACAGACTCCCGTGGAGCTGCCTTCCACCCCAGCGGGGTCCAGCCCAGCCTCCCTGTCTCTTTGGCAGATGAAGAAACTGAGGCTGGGCTGGGGGTGTAGCCAAGTGGATTGAAACCTAGGGATTGTCTGGCTCCAAAGCATTCCCTACCACCCTGGCTGACCTGCCCCAGTGGGTTCTGAACACAGGGCCAGTGGTGGGGAAGTGATGGGGGAGGAGGTCAGCCTTGGGGCTGTTGTGGCTCTTCCACTGGGGTGAGGGTAGTGGATGGCATGAACCCTGAACTTCTAAGCACATGTCACATGTGAGCTTTGCTCTGGGAGGTAAGAATCCCTAGCAGAGTTAAGCTTGGCCCTCTTGGCTGCCTGCCGGGTGGGACAGTCAGGCCTGGTGCTGCTCAAGGTGAGATGCTTATCAGGCCCAGGCCCCCTCAGTCATCACATTAGGAGCCCAGCCTGGGTAGGGGGCTCTTGGCATGCTCTGCCCTCCCTTACAGGGTGACCTTGGACTAGTTACTTGGCTGTGTAAGTCGTAGTTGGTCATCAGTAATACATAGTTGGTCATACAATAATACAGACAGTCCCAGGACTATTATGAGGACAAGTGTCCTGGGAGGAGTCTGGTACCCAGTCAGGCCTGGGTCAGTGTTGGCCTTTCCTTTCCCACACTGTCTTAGCAGAAGTGGGTGAGAAGAGGTAGTAGGCCATTTCTATAGCCTGCTCTGAAGAATGTGAGAACCTGAGGGTCTAGGGACCCCTCCTTCATGCTTTATTTTTTCAGGAAGAACTCTTTTACTTCTCAAGGAAGAACTTTCAACCCAACTGGCAAACATCCCTCCTGCTTCACTCTGGCTCATTCTGTGAAGTCACAAGGGATGTCGTGGAAAGGAGTTTTACCTGGGAATAAATTCACATAAGAGAAAAGGGTCTGAAGCTTCCTGGGATGGAGGTTTCCAATGAGCTCTGAGTAGGTGCCTGGGCTTCCCCACACCCTAAATCAGGGAAGAAGTGGACCCTCCACTCTCCTGTGCCTGCCCTACCTCATCCAAAGGACCCAGCAGACCCTCCTTGAAAGTTCACTACCACTGGGCACTGGGTGCTGGACATGCAGGTGCCTAAGTGTAGCTAGAGGGGTGTGAACAAAGGACATCTGTTCCTCTCTTACCACATCGGAACCCTCAAAGCTTCACTTCTTGGGGCTTGTACTTCTAGGCAGGCAGCACCCCAACCTGGAACGCCAGGAGGGGGCTAGCAGGGTGTGCAGATATGGGAGATGCTGTTGAATGCAAAGGAGAAGGCCAGGGTTGGGGAGGAGAGCAGACCTAGAGGCATCAGGGAGCATTTGGTCAAGGTGGCAGTTGAGCTGCACCTTGAAGAATAAATGCAGAACTGGAGGAGAGGGCACAGAGAGGGACTGATGCTAGCTAAGACCTGACTCGCCTGTTATGGACTGGGAGAACTCAAGGTATGTGCAACAGAGAAAACACTCCATTTGTCCAGAGTGTGTGACATCAGCAGGCAAGGCTAGGTGTCAGGTAACCTGGACAAGGCAGACTCAGAAGCCCTGAAAGGAGCCTGGGGCCGGGGGCGGGGGGCTTGTTGTTGTTCATGTGGTATAGAAAAAGTCTCCTAACTGCAGAGTAGAAGTGATTGGAGGGCCGGATTAGGTGGCCCATGGGTTCCTAGACGAAGAGGGAAAGGGGCACCTGGGGGGAGACACAGAAGAGAACCGAGTCACTGTTTCTGTGACACAGTTGATGCTCAGTGACTCTTAGCTGCAGAGTTGACTGAGCATGCCCTGCATGTGTGTGTACCTGGGAGTGCACGCAGCACTGGGGGTAGAATTCCGGGCCTCACTAAGCCACACCCTAGCTCCTGAGCAAACTGTTTCAAGAGGACCTCACTCTTTTGAGCTCCTCTAGGAGTGCCTAGGGCAATGGGGCCCAGAGAGGGAGAAATCTCTAACAGCTCTACTTCTCTCAGGTCCTGATCCTGCTATCTGCCTCAGTTTCCCCTGTCTGACTTTGGAGAAGATATTTCAGTCTGTTTTCCAATAGGGACCTTTGAGTGATTCTTTTCTGTCATAGGATCTGGGGAGTCAAGAGAACATTTGTATCATGCCACAGGGCCTCTAGATGTTCCACACCACCGATTTGGGGCAGAACTTACCTGTTAAAGATTAATTCTGATCTCTGGAGATACTTGTGGTCCTGGGGCCCATGCTGCTACTCTGAACTCTGGGTATAGGGCCAGTCTAGCTTAGCCAAGCATGGGCTGCATTACCAGTTACTAGGATGGTAGCAGGAATGGACAGAGTACTTTCTATGTCTTAGGTACTGGGCCAAATGTCCTCAGTAAATTCAGATACATGCAGAGGGATTAACTGAGGCCTGCATGGTAAAGTCATTTGCTTACAGTCACTCAGCACAGAAGGAACAGAGCTATAATCCAAGTCTCCTTTGTCTGCTTCCAAAATCCACATCCTTAACCTCCAAAGTGGTCTGTCCCCATTTGTTGGTGCCCTCTCCAGGGTGATGGGAGCTGTGGGGAAGAGGTCCAGCTTTATAGAGGGAAGCTGGATTGCTTCTTAAGCCTTCTGTTTTCTGATCCAGGAGCTTAAGGAAGTCATCGGGACCCTCAAAGCTTGTTTCCTCATCTGTCAAAAGGGGCTCTTGGGTTCTACTTTGCCAGGCCAGCCCAAGGCCCACAGATGGGCTCTTGAAACCCAGGACTCCTCCCTCATCCAGTGTTTTCTAGCCTAGTCCAGGGCATGCTTCCCAATATCTTGGGAGTTCTCCATGCCAGGCGGCGGGCAAAGCTAGACTTGCACTTGGAAGATGGAGCCTTTCAGTCCTGCAGTGTTGATGGGTATTGGCTGAGCTCCAGGCACCTTCAACCTTTCCTACTTTCCTGCTTTAACACTTAGAAGCCAGATGCCCAGATCTGAGCCCCAGTTCCCAGGTGGTTCTTGTCCTCCTCCAGTCTGTTACCTCATCTGTACAGTGGGGTGAGCACTCCAGTGTGGGGCGTGGAAGCACTCACCTCGCTGGGTAGTATAGACAGTTTCCCACTCTGGCTTGTAACCAGATCTGCTACCTGGTCACTTCTACAGTATGCAACCTCATTCCCACTGGAAAAGATGAGCAAGAATGCAGAGACCCACTTTGCATGTGGAAGAAACTGAGTCTCAGGGTAGGAAACCGTTTACCAGGATGGCTGTCTCATGGCAGAACAGGAAACAGAGTCAAGTGACTCTTAGTCCCCTTGAATCCCAGAAAATCCAGTGACTGGCTCAGCTCCTTGTCAGAGAAGCCATCTTGGAGTCTGATGCACCCTCAGCTCCGCCATTCAGTGCTATGTGACAACAGGAAGTGGCTTTACCTCCATTCCCAGGATTCGTTGCAGGTTGGAGTCCTGGCTTGAGTTCCCCTGCCTTGGGTACCCTTGGATCCTGTGAGCTAGCTACTTGGCCTTGTGAGTTGGCTGGGCAGGAAGGCCAGGCCAGCACATTTGCTATGACTCTCACTTCCTTCCCACCCGTGAGCCCCTTCCTGATCATTGCTTCCCCTTTCTGTCCCAAAATCTGGCTACATCTGGCTGTGTGAGCTCAGGGAAGTCACCCCACCTCTCTGGGCATGTTGTTCCCCCGTAGGGGAGGGTCATATAAGCCCAAGCTGGGCACACAGGAACTCCTCCCAGTCTGCTGCAGATGAAGTCAGAGTGTTGGAGAGGCCCCAGTAGGTGGGATGGGGAGAGGGTAGTCAGGCAGGCTGTTAAGGCAATGGGAATTTGTATGTTTTCTTTTGGGTAGTGAGTAAGGCCACTGCTCCCACCCACCAACCTCTCTGCCCTACACAAAGGACTCCTTAGTCCCTCAGGCGCCTGTTTTTCCTGAGGGTGGAGTGACCTGGGGTCCAAAAGACATGATTGCCTTTGGGAA